AAACGAAATTAAAAGTATTCAGCATGTAAAGGTAAACATAAACGTAACTTTGAATATGTATGCATGTCAAGCTGAAAAAACGATTCAAATATCGTTGCTTAAAATTTATGAACTCACATCACACTCTGTTCCCTGCCTCATCTATCGGTAACCGATTTTCAAGTTCATGTTACGTTCATGAAATTGGGCCAGAGAGTGATTTAATTTTTAATATTTTATTGTTTTGAATAGTTTTAATATTATATGATTTTGTGATGTTGGACACTTCAAATTCAAAAACTTTTGATTTAAAACATTTTAATTAAAATTTAATACATTTTAAATAAAGTGAGTTAGTTGTGGTATATACAAATTAATTTTCGGGTTCTTTATTTAGTGTTTTCAAAAAATATATTTTATTTTTTAATAAGTTTAACTACAATATTTTATTATTAATTAATATGATTAACTCGTAACTTTTATATTTTATATTTATTGAATATAATTTATATTTTAATATTTTTATTTTTACAGTAAGACCGACCAACGACTTGAACCTTTTCTAAAGACTGTTCTATTGAGGCTATTACTAACGACTTTATTACTTGAACCGTTTATGCTCAACCTTTGCTAACGACTGTTGCTTCCAAGTTTTTCCTTTGATGCCTGAAGTCGTTCATGAAAGTTTTTGGATTGGATTTGACCAATCAAATTATAGCTTCTAACATTCCTTAGAATGTTCTAGAAGCTTCTTATCTCCATCCTATAGGATTGGAGCTTCTATTTTCTAAAGCGCCTCGTAAGCGTCTTTAGCTTTGGCGTCAGTAGCCAGATGACGAGATTTATGTCCAATTGTATTTGGAGATCTCATCGATCAAGTATTTCAAATGATACATCAAATGATAAATGTTTATTTAATTATAAAAAAAAAAAAATTTAAATAATATATTTTGTATATAAAGAATAAAATTTTCATAGTAAAATTAAATGTTTTCTAGTAGTGATAGTGAAAACAGTGTTTGTTCATATCAATATTCGCCGCAATATGAGTATAATGAAAAAAGTGACAATGAGGGATCCAGTAATATCAGAATCAGAAAACGAATCTGTAATTCTGAACCGACAGCCCTTCATATTAAGCGATTCCGATACAATGATAGCAGATACTCAAGCAGTGGAAATGAGTATATTGAAGGAGAAGAAGAAAACGAAGAAGAGGAAATTAGCAATGGAAGCGGAACAGAAGAAAATTATAAATGTCGAGCAAGAAATGAAAGAAGCGAGTATGTTAATGGAGAATGCTACTCATATGTCGATGCTCTCACTACTATTGGTGATTTGGACGCCGGAATTTCTAATTCATTCGAATTCGATCTTAGATTGCTTGATTCCACTATCTCTAATGAAGAAGGAATACGAAGCCAAACGAGTTTTACATTTGTTGACGGACTCCCTACTGTTTGTACAAAAGCAGTTAATAAACCAGAAGAACGAATTAAGCAAGTGTTCGTTGAAGAATTTGGTAACAATTCTCTTAAACAGCGAGTGGTCCACGATGTATTTGGATGTAAACATAACGATGGAGACTTCAACATGGATTACGAACAGTTATGCAGAAAATTTTCAGGGGCCATCCTCATCATCGCACTTCACGACAACCACATCCACGTCATCCATGACTGTACATACTCCAATAATTCCTGTAGATGTGCCTTCTCAAAATTTATCCATAGACAGACCAATAGAAGATATTCTAGACGAGTCGTTCCAAGTTGGAAATTCACGATCCAACATTGGATCAATTTGTCAATCTATTTGCAGAAGGAAACCAGGAAGTACTTATACTATAACATCACCGGGAGAACGTGGTTTCCAAGTAGTGAAACTAGATGTGTACGATTTTTCGAAGATCTCCAAGAAGCCAAAAATGGAATGGTGGAAGGAAGCGAATTATCGTTCAACTTTTTTGATTCAATCTCCTGTGGACCCGAATCATCAATTGGTAATGAAACTTTTGCTGAATGTAACGAATCAACTCAACAAAATACCAGGTAAATAATAAAAATAATTAAACTAATATTAAATTAATAAAAATTTATTTTTTAATAGGAGTCAAAAAAGAAGAAAGGGAGACAAAATAATAGATTTTCTAAAGAGTCATCCAACAGCACCAATACATCACATTTTGAATACATCTGCGTGGCTAACATCAGAATTTAAATTTTGGGATATTAATTGTATACTGATTAAAAATTGTATTCGTATTATAAATAATTATATTAATAATTTACTTTTCATGAAATTTATTTGTATCTAAAATCAGTAGAACCACAAAATTTAATTTTCAATGCACCTATTGGAAATTTATATAA